TAATTTCTTTTCTTCTCTTCTCTTTGTTTTTGAAAACTTATTTTTAAGAAAACAGCCAATCCAGTTTGGTTGGTCCATGATATGGGTCCAATAGTAGTGTAGTTGGATGGGGCTTGACAAGAGCTTTCCAACGATATATTATAAGCCCAATTCCCATGAATATTGAGGAAGTTATGACCAATTTACTAAACTGGGCCCGGTTTAAGCCTTATATGCGGCCCAATGATTTAGGGGAGGGCCTAATATGATTTATCATTCCTAATGCAATTAGGAATGGTTTTAGTCTTCTAGATTCTTCTAGAAGGTTCTTTTCATTCCTAATTCAATTAGCATTGATAAATTGACTTTTGTTGACTTTTCAGAGTTTTAATTAAAATCAAAGAACATTTTTGAGGAAAAGATACGATTTTATCCTCCTGTATGGCAAAACTTATCTGATTTTCGAAAATGCGTCAGAAACAGGACTAGCGTCTAACGCCAGGCATTGGGCGCCTGGAGCTAGGCTTGGCGCTTGGCGCTGGCATTGGCGCCTGGCGCCAATTAGCTGGTGCTGGCCCCAGCTCTGTTTTAGGTGCACCAGATGCTCTATTTTGATATTTTATCTTTTAGGCTGATTTTCTCTATAAATAACGTATTAAAAACTCCGTTTTAATTCACCTACAATCAGTTTTCAACTCTCATTCTCTTCTAATTAATTCATTCATCTTTCTCTTTCTTTCTCAAACTTTGCTTTTACATACAAAATTCCGCATTCACAAGATCTAGAAACCCCTAGCCATATTCGAAGTTGCCTTCTCCCTAGACGTGAAAGGTTTTAATTTATGAGGGTTTGGTCCCAAATCTCTATTTCAATTATTTAATTTAATTGTTTGTTTATTACTTTCCTTGAAGTTACTAACGCGTGTATTTTGTTATTAGAAAGAGGTACGAGGCATCAAAGTAAGTACTTTAATTGATTTATTGATATTATGATGTAGAGATCATGTTTATATTGTTATTATGATTTTCCTAGTATCATGTCTAGGGTAATTTTAATATCAAGTATGATTAAAAGTACGATGCTTCCTATGTTTTCCTTAATGTTTATGATTGTTAGTATCATGTTAGGGTTAAAGATTTGATTTTTATTGCTTAGTGACATGCTAGGGTTTGTTATTAATCTTGTTAGTATCATGCCTAGGATCTTGTTATTATTATGCTTTAATATTAACATGAATATGATTATGATTATAATTGTTATAATTTATGATGATTATGAATATTATTATTATTATTGTTATTATAATGATTATTTTATTTATGATTATTATTATCTTGATGATGATTATAATTTTATTGTCATGATATTTATTATGATTATTATTATGTTGCTTGATATTTATTGTTATTGCTTGATCACGCCTTTTATTGCATGTTTAAAGGGAATTTGGTACTTGTAAACACGCTTAATAAGATAATTAATAATCTTGTTAGAAATATGATTATGATTTCAAGTGATCGCCAATAATAATTTATTTGTGCATTAATATTCAACCAACATAGATAAACAGGTTTAGGGTTGATCCGATTGATTGTATGTTAATTAGAAAGCGCACATGAATACGATCTGAATAAAGTAGAGGCCTATTATTAGGGCAGGTTCAATCTCTTTTAGGTTGGATTTGTACCTTCATCCCCGAACCCTTATTTGGTTCTAGACCTTATGGAGTTGATGATCTCTTGGATCGTTAAGGGGTGTAACCTTCACCCTGTGAACGGTTTACAAGTTCCTAAAACTTGTTGGCGACTCTTTTGCTCTATCTTCTGCCCTTTTGGACGCCACCGTACTTTAGTGTATGATCACAATGGGGTTCAAGCTAGGGGATTAACGCTTGAAATATTCCCTACAGTACCATTAAGGGGATTTTGAACTTTGTGTTGGGGAAGCGGTAAGATTGGTTGAATGGACTAAAGTTGAGTACATTCGGGAAGGTTATCTAGGCCTTAGCTTGTCATGACCGTGGTTGATCTTAGGCATATACCTCATGCTCGAGTTTTATTGCTTAATGATTCTTTTATTTTTACATGTGCTTTTCTTTGAGCGGACTAATCTATTGGTTTCTTTTACTCCAAGTGAATTGCTAAGGGACAAGAAATTAGCTAGCTTGGGGGAATTTGATAAGTGTTTTATTTGTCCACTTATCATGGCATTTTTTACACAATTTTGTTGTCATTTTCCCCTCTTTCCCCCCTTTTCCGACTCCTTTTTGTGCATGATTACAACTCTTGGCTTCCCTGTTCTTTTTTACGTGTGTATTTGTGTTTGTAGATACAAGGAGAAATAGGTTATATAGCATGAACATGAAGAACTATATTGGAAGTACAACACAAGAAGACAGGGCGTGCAGTCCCCAAGGAGAGCGTGCTCCTTCCCCAAGCACCACAATCTGCATCTCTTTATTCCCAGCTATGAGAGGGCGTGCACCATAGTACGAGCGGGCACTCCTCCCTGATCTTCCACAAACTGCCTCAAACTGCCGCAGGAGGAGAGGGCGCGCAAGAGCCAAGAGAAGGCGCTCCAGCCTGAGGAGCGGGCGCTCCTCTATGTAGGAGTGGACTCTCCTACATGCAAACTCGAATTTTTGGTCGGATTTTACAATGTAAATTCGGGGTGTATAAATACGACCCTTGGCTTTTGTTTTCTGCACCTTCTTCCTTGGAGGAGATCGCCTTCTTCCCTTTAGCTTCCTTATGCTCTTCTCTCTTAGTTAACTCTCTAAACTCTTATTAATTAGCTTAATTTCTCTCAAACTTTATCATTAAAGTAGATTAATTGAAGTTTGTATTCTCATTTTCAACATTTTCTCAACCTTGAAGCTTCATTAGTAATCTCTTTCCTCTTTCCCTTACTCTTTATTTTCTGTTTTTAATTGCTTTGAATTATAGATTTGTCTTTTAATCTAGGTTATTTGTTGTTGCATGTTCAATTAGCTTAGATATATTACTCCTTTCAACTTGTTAGATTGATGATAGTATTGGAACTTGTAGTTATGTTGTTCTTTACCATGCTTAGTGAGTAGTTAATTAGCTAGGGGTTGGGTGAAGACCCTACCAATCAGCCATGGGTTGATTGATATTTGTTCTTGCATGTTCATTTTGCATTGATGATTGATTGTTAAAGAATTGGTTAATTGCATGTGTAATACTTATTGCTCATCTATTCACTTCTATGCTTGCCATGAAAGATGAGGTCTAGTTGTGAGCCCTTTCTTGTATGATTATTCTAAATTCCTCTTGATTACGGTCCCTTGTTTGGATGATGTAGTATTCTTAGTTGCGGTAATTAGGAGAAAAATCCCAATTATTTCTTCCTTAGTACTATCTCGAACCGATCGAAAGACAAACCCGAGTAAGTAGTATACTTCCCACTGTTAAAACTTGGTTGGCCTATCTTTCTAGTTGAGTTTGGTTTAGGAATGCTTAATGTTGTGGTTTCGAAAGAAGTGAACCTTTTCTTGTATGATTAGACCGAATTTCTATCTTGATTACGGTTCCTTGTTTGGATGATATAGTAGTCTTAGTTGCAATATTTAGGTGAGAAATCCCCATTATTTGTGCCTTAGTACTATCTCGAACCGATCGAAAGACAAACCCGAGGTAGTCGTCTACTTCCCATTATTAAGACTTGTTTGGCCTATCTTGCTGGTTGAGTTTGGTTTAAGAACGCTTAGTGTGGTGGCTTCAGAAGAAGACAATGTTGAGTGCCCTTTCTATCACCCAATTTGTGTACATGCTTGCTTATTGTTTTGATTCATTGGTTTGGTTGGTGTCGATTCCCATTCCCCCCCTAGTGTTTGTCTCCATAGTAGTTATTTAATCAAATCCCAAACTTGTGACCGAACTAGATTACAACCGTTTCATATTCTCGGTGTACTCATTCCCATACCCTGTGGATACGATCCTTTACTTTCCCTAGACTTGTCTTAGGTTAGTTTAGGTAGAAATAGTGTTTGGCTTGAGGGTGATTGTCCAACGACCGATTATTCTTGTACCAGAAACACCTTTTCCGACGGATTTCAAGGTGTTTCCGACGAAACTTTTCCGTCGGAAATGGACTGTTTTCTAGTAGTGTAAATTCTCTCTCCTCTCTCTTTCTCGGATCATCTCCCCTCTTATCCTCCTCTCTTTTTCGGTCTACTCTTTGTTTCTCATCCTCCTTCTTTCCTCTCTTTCTCGTCCTCCTTTTCGCTCTTTCTTGTGTTCTAAAAAATGGCGAATTCAGGTTCAATTTCATGATATTAGGGTTTTATTTGTCAAATTCGACCATAAAAATTCCACATCTAGAGTTTTATGATCAAATTTGAAAATCAACACCAAAAAAGAAGAAAATTTTTGAAGGTATGTAAATTTTTTTGTGTTTATTATTGTGGTTTTTGTTTATATTATGATATTTTTTGGTCTAATTTCATTATTTTGTGCTTAACTACCTTTTTTGTTGTTCGTTTATTTTCCTATGAATTTTTTTCTTCTATTTTTGTGTTGATTTTCGTTTCAATTTGTTATAATTTGTTTATTTTCTTTGGATTTATTGTGGCTTGTTTGTTCGAATTTTGTACTGTTTGGATAATTTCTATTTTTTTGTTTAATTTATATATTGTGGGTTTTTTTTTATTATTGGATGTATATTTGTATATCTTGTTTGATGTCACTAGTGGAAAAATAGCTATCCGTAACGGGCATCGGGCGTTACGTATGCCACCGTTACGAATAACCCGTTATTCGTAACGGGCATTTCTAGTGCTCGTTACGAATAACCCGTTATTCGTAACGGACATTTCAAGTGCTCGTTATAAATAACCCGTTATTCGTAACGGACATTTCAAGTGTCCGTTACAAATAACGATTTATTTGTAACGGGACTTTCAACTGCCCGTTACAAATAACGGGGTTAATTGTAACGGGCATGATATATGCCCGTTACAAATAGTGTGTAACCCAATTTAAAAAAAATACAGCACATGTTGTGCTGGATTAGCTAGCTTGCATAATAATTATAGCACAATTATTTTATTAATTAATTGAGATAAAAATAGTACTTCATATATATACAATCAACAAAAAAAAAATACATTTATTATCACCTAATAACTAAAACTGAAAAAATAGAGCAAAAGAAAATCTCAATGGCAATAAGAGATTTAAATGATTTTCCACTAAATTAATGTTAAATCGTTTACATCTTCCACAAATTACTGCAACTCAAGTGGTTTGTCTGGAGCACCAACTTCCCCCGCGAAATCAATCATCTCTTGTGTATGACCAAAATGAAATCTGATGGACTCTGGAGACTGTTCCTTGATTTACTGTATGATCCTCCCATTGAAAAAATGCTCCCCTAAAGATGGAGAAAAATGGGATGCTTGAGCTGTGTCTGACTCTGCTACACTAGCAAATTTCTGAATGCGAGAGCTTGTACTTGATTGTTCGAAGATATGTAACAGCAGATCACGCTTCTTCTGGTTAAATGGCTCAGGAAGACTCTCCTCAGGTATATTAGTACCCTACATTCATAAATTAAATCAGATCTTATTATGACTATTCAAATCAGAATATCAGAATTTCATGTACATATTAAACATTATTCCACGTGCATATCAACCCAGGGAAGCTGTAACATCTTCCTTTCCACAAGACATGAGATTATGAGAATGACAGATTGACAGTAAACTGAACAATTCATTGAGTGAACTGGACATTACCATTCTATGAGTTGATATGCACGTGGAATAATGAGATGATACTTGTTTTAATGAGATGATACTTGTTTTGAAGTTATATGAGTCCAATTTTGAAGTTATATGAGTCCAATTTAATGAGGTGATACTTGTTTTAAACTCAAGCAAAAGGTCTGAAGCTTTTGTCGAAAAAAAAGTACAGAGAGTACTTCAGAACATTAAAAGAGACTCTTAACACATTTGAGTACTGCATTCCATATACTACTAAATGCTAATGTACAAGTGTAATATTCACCAGTATGAAAAAAATTCAAGTAGAAGCCAAACCTCCACCTCCCACCCTCTCACTCTACATATAGCTCCCGAAAAAAGTAGCCAGCGACAGCAACTATTAATAAATTATCTATAGTTTGAACAACTACAAGCTTTTAGCCTTTATCACTAGGCCAAGGCCTCATAAGCCTACGACCTCTATAATCCATATTGATTAGACATTGACACATTGTGCCTTATGGAAAAGCTCATGCTACGTATTTTTAATGCAACAAACTCAAGAAGTAAGGTTGGAAATAAAATATCCAACTTAAATTGAGACTGAAATACTTGATCAATTAGACAACTAATCCTCAAATTTAAAATTAGGACTTCTATATTGTATTAGACCAAAAAAAATTCTCATAAAGCTGCGATCATCACTTTTTCGATCTAAATCTCAGGCATATGTAGATAATACTAACCAAGGACCCATGACTCTATCCATGATCCACCTACCAACAACACAATTACACAAACATATCACAAAATTTACAAAGAAAATTGAATAAAAGAAGAATAAAATTACTGCAAAGCAATTAGTCCAACAACATCAGACTATATTACCAATTAATTGCGAAATTAGACAAACAAAAATAAGATATATTATGTAATAGCCCTCTTCTATCATGGCAGCATAATTTCAATAAAAACACATTAGGAGGTTTAGGAGGCTGCAACAAAACTCAGATCTGTAATAATAACACCATCATACAAATAAATCAATCAATAAAAGCAACAAATACAATCAAAATCACTCCCGATCTCCATTAATAAACAATAATCAAGCTAAAAACAATCATCAATTCGCACAAATTGTAAAGGGAACAATCAAATTCAGAATATACAAACAACATTTCAATAATAAAAAAAGAGGGAAAAATCAAAAATTGAGGAAACATACGTTTACCACCACCAAAGACCTTATGAAGAGGCTTCGATCTACCGAATCTTCGAGAGCAATTCACCAACAGGACCGCAAAGACTTTAAAAGAGCAACATAGAGAAAAAAACGAATTACAATCTCACACATATATAATACTATTAATTGAACCTCAAAAGGAAAATTGCGAGCATAATCACCTCGATGTCATAGACGATTTACCAGCTTCAGCATAAAAAATGTGGCAAAGAGCGCGAGGAACCAAACCGGGTACTTTGACAGACCCGAAAACGGTGTGAGTTTTCCCAGAACCACTAGGCCCTAAAGCAGCCGAAAGCCCACCTTTTCCACTCATAAATCCCTCAACCATTGGTCTCATGAGCTTATCATACACTTCATCCTGCACAGTTATAACCACAATTCACTTAAAAAAGTATGCAGTCAATCAATTGAAAAAATACCAAAAACTAAAAAAGGGGGGAATTCAAACAACAAACCTAAGAAGAATTTGAAGAAAAAACATGCGAAAATCTGTTGTAAACTTCAGATTTCAACGTGTTAGAATCGTAAATCGAGGGAATAATCGTAATAGAATGAATTGTCATTGATCGTAAGACAACTCTTACTGGGTTTTTTCGAATTAGGTTGTTTCGATTTAGAGGGTTTGGAAGGAGCAATTGGAAGGGGGCAAACTCTGAGGAAGACATTGAGAGAATTTGAGGAATTTGGTTGATTTGGGGATGGAATTTTAGGGTTTTGTAAGAGCTGAACATCCATTGATAAGATGTCATCGAGTGGGAAATTGGGGATGTTAAGGTTTTTGAAGGAGAGAGGAGAGAGGAGAGAGGAGAAAGGAAAGAAGATGAGGAAATGACGGCTTAAGGACTGACTGACTGAGGAGAGTGAAACCCTAGTTATAAATGGGCTTTTCTCATCAGCTGGGCCCAAATTCAAACATTTGTAACGGGCACAATCTTGTCCGTTACAAATAAATAACTATTCGTAACGGTCAAGATCTTGCCCGTTACAAAAAACATAGTTTTCGTAACGGGCACCATGTTGCCCGTTACGAATAATATGTATTTGTAACGGACTGTTATTTTGACCGTTACACATATGTTTATTGTAACAGGCATAGCTTTGCCCGTTACAAATAACACGTTACAAATGACAATTTTTCTACTAGTGTGTTTTGTTATTTTTATTATATATTTTCATTTATGTGCGCTTATTATATGTTGGGTTTATTTTGTTTGAGTTTTATTTGTTGGGGTTTAATTATTAGATAAAATCTTAATGTTTCTTTGTGTAAGGTGGTGGTAGGAAGGAGAGTTGTAGGTGGTTGTCGGTGGTGGTGCGAAAGGTTGTTATGGGGGCAGGGGAAGGTAGGCTTGGGTAAGGGGGGTAGGGGGTGGGCGTTTTTTTTTTATTTTTTACGACGGCTAGCCGTCTCTAAAACCATTTTTTACAACAGTTTTGTTTCCTGTCGCAACTTACGACAGTTTCAAACTGTCGTAAAATAATTACAGCGACTAAATAAAAAATCGTCGTTGAAACTAATAAAACCGTCGTAATAATTCTTTACAACAGTCAAACTGTCGCAAAAAAAAACTTATATACGACAATGCTGACTACGACAAACAATTTACGATAGTTGACTGTCATAACTATTTTCTATGACAACTTTTGCTATTTTTGCGAAAAATTTTGGCTATCGCAAAATAGCTAATTTCTTGTTGTGGAACAAAGTGACAATCAACCTCAATATTATTTGATCGTTCATGAAACACTAGATTCTTATCAAGATGCAGAGCCGATTCATTGTCACAAAACAATTTTATCACCTTTGGATGTTGTACACCAAGACTCGATAACAATGCATTGAGCCATTTTAGCTCACAAGTAACGGCAGACATGGACCTGTATTCAGCTTCCGTAGATGATGTTGACACTGTGTGTTGCTTCTTGATTTTCCATGAGATGGGAGACTTACCAAGAAACACTATCCAACCAGAAAAAGAACGACGAGTGAGATTACAAGCAGCCTAATTTGAGTCACACCAACCCTGCAGATTCAAGTCATAATAAGAGCTCAATAAAATACCTTGTCCTAGAGTGCCTTTCAAATAACAAACCACCCTCAACGCAGCATCCTAATGCTCGCTACCTGGTTCTTACATAAACTGAGACAAAACATGAATTGATTATGCTAAATCAGGGCGAGTAACAGCAAGATAAATCAAACGGCCTACTAGTCGTCAGTATGCCTCTGAATCATAGAGAAGATCACCAGTAGCAAGACTCAACTTGTGGTTCTGCTCCATAGAAAGGCAACTAGGCTTTGATCTAAAACAACCTGCCTAAGAAATAATATCCAATGTATACTTTTGTTGGCACAAAACAAACCTGCAGAGCTACGAGCTACCTCAATACCCAAAAAATATTTCAAAGGACCAAGGTCCTTCATCTTGAAGCAATCACTAAGATAATCCTTAAAAACTGTTAATGCAGCGGAATCATTCCAAGAAATAATTAAATCGTTAACATAAACTACGACATCAATTTGAACTTTGCATGTAGTATATGTCAATAAAGAATAATCAGATTTAGATTGTATGAAACTGTACTAGTTTAAGGCCGTTGTAAGCTTTGCAAACCAACACCGAGGAGCCCGTTTCAAGTCATAGAGTGAATTTCGAAGCCTGCAAACCAAGGAAGGATCCGAGCTCTCAAGACCCGGTGGAAATTTCATGTAGACCTCCTCACTTAGATCACCATATAAGAAGGTATTGTGCACATCCATTTGATGTAGCTCCCAATTTTTCCGGACGCAATAGCTAGGACAATGCGCACCATCGTCATTTTTGCAACCAGAGCAAAGGTTTATTCATAATCTACTCCTGCCTTTTGATGATGGCCTAACACTACCAAACTATATTTAAGACGCTCTATGTCTCCATTTGATAAAAACTTGGTCTTGTAGACCCATTGACTGCCTAGAGCTCTTTTTTTTTCCGGCGGAAGATGTTCCAATCTCCAAGTAACATTGTCTTCCAAAGCCCGGATTTCTTCCTGCATAGACTTGCCCCATGGATCTTTGCTTTGAACAATTATTGAAATAAATTTCCAATAATTCACAGAAAAATTATAACAATGTATATAGTGTGCTAGGGGATACGGGGTATCTGAAAACTGATTGGATGGCAGAGACGGACTTTTAGCAAAAAAAAGTGTGAGTTACAAAATCTTGAATTAAAACTAAGGGGAATTTATCCCGAAAATCACGCCCCATATTGGGATGCTGCTGCTATGCTGTAGTATCAATGGTGATGATCTCGTGCTGCTGATCGAGGTGCAAAGCGAGATACCTAGAGCTGTGAAGTTGCTTCGCTGCTGCTGTGTTGCTGGGTAGGCCATGGCTGGTAGTAGCAGCAGCTTCATCATGTTGTTGTGCCGTGACCTGCTGCTATATGGTATGTCTGGCAGAGGAAGTGTACTCCGCAACCTCCTTGCGGCCATCATCTATTTGCCGTAAGTTGCCTGCGGAGTGGGTTGTCTCCATATTATCTTGAGGTGAAGGTACATCATTTCCTTCCCCATTAAATATTTCATGCTCAATTTCATTATTGTAAGCAACCAAATCATCATCACTCACAATATAATCTACAAAATCAACATGGACATCATCCCCCGTCCCACAAAAAATTGGATCAATATTAGCATCTTCCGGACTGCGAAAAGGAAACACATCTTCCATAAATTTCACATCACAAGAGACAAAAAATTTCTTTGTTTCAAGATCACATAGCTTCCACCCATTTTTACTAAAGGTATACCCCATAAAAACACATTTATATATGACTCCTACTAGCAAACTTATCCCCTCTCGTTTTATGATTGTGTGCGAAGCACAAACAACCAAAAGTACGGATAACACCAAAAAAAGGAGGCTTATTGAAAATAACAGTGTTTTATTTTGAATAAGAGGAGTAGGAGTTCGGTTAATCAAATGAGCTGCAGCTAAAACACACTCCCCCCAAAAATAAATTGGTAGTTGTGCTTGAAATCTCAAAGCTCTCCCAACATTAAGAATGTGTTTGTGTTTTCTCTCTACTCTCCCAATTTGTTGAGGGGTCCCAATACACGAGGTTTCATTATTTTTTTTACTATTTTTTTTACTAAGTTGAGTAATAGAGATTAAATTGCAATGAAGATGAGGCACAAAGAGAACTCTAGTGATTGTGATTTTAGGACAAACAAATGGAACTTCCAAAGTAGCAAGTACACGTTCACCATTTGGTAAACCAATTTCAGTGATGTGTGTGTCAAACAACCAAGAACAATTTTCGGTAACATGATGGGTTGCTCTGGTATTAATAATTCAACAAGAAACATCAAACTTATCATTACCCACAAAACCCGAAAATACCTTCGAGTGTTCGGTGGTGAAACCTTATTGCAGAATTGTAGTCTTCCCATCATTAGTTTCGGTTAGGGGCTGCTCGTCACCCCCCGGCAGCATACTCCGCACCCCCCTGCGGTCTGCAGGCATTTGTCCCGGGCTGCCTGCGGTCTGCTCTACCTGGTCGTGGGTATGCAAGGGTTGAGTGGGTTGTATGGGCTGCTCTTCATGTGCAACCATAGGAGAACCATGCCCCTTCTTGTTGCAAAGAGGGTAAGAAGATTTAAACCAATAGCGTGAAATTTCATGCCCCGGTGGTGTTTGATCATCATCGGCCATGGCTAAGTAAAAAAAAAATTAACCTGCTCTTGATAACATGCTAAATCAGAGAGAAAATATAATTGTGTGGCTTGTCCTTCTCATTCAACCTCATGAAAATATAAAAGTTACAATTTCTAACCCTAGAATAAAAGATAATATAGGAAAATAGGAAGTTAGCTAAAATATACAAGATAATATTCTACCATGTCAAATAATATCCCATAATATCTCATTATTCTTCTATATTGCGATCAAATCACCTTTCAATAGTATTCTTTTTACTCTTGATAATATATAAAATCCCGATGCCACAACACACACACAATCATGGATTCATGGAATGTAACTACTTTTGAAAACATTCTCCTACTAAATCAAGTGATTCAAGTCTTGCTAACATCGCTTGAGATAAAATACGCCAATCAAAATTCCAAAGTGGTCCATGTTAGCGAAAACAGACGTTAACTTAACATCTTTAGCTAACCTCAAAACTTTAAGGGTTCAAAAAATCCATGCTAGATATTCCCTCGTTGCGTGCAGGGAATCAGGTTGTGCACGCAACTTATAATCTTTGCACATGCTTTATTATTTTGAGGGTTTTTACAATTTTGTTATAATTTGCAGCGATTTTATGGAACAATTTTTGAATTTCAAATTTCAAATCTCTACTTTAAAGACTATCTATTTTAGTTGTAATTGAGATCTTTCTATTTGATTTATCATAATGAATCATTGTATAAGCCCTCTCAAATTATACAATGCTCTACTTTAAAGACTTTCTATTTTAGTTGTAATTGGGATCTATCTATTTGATTTATCATAATGAATCATTGTATAAGCCCTTTCAAATTATACAATGAATCATTATATTGTTTGTATATTAATTTAAAAAAAAATTCTTGTTACCCAATAATACTAAATTTTTTAGACAAACCCTGCTGAGACTTATCTAGAACATGTTGCTAAGCTTGGTCATATATACATGCAATCTTATCAGGATTATTAGGTATTTTCTTAAAAGTCAATAATACCAACTTTAACTCATCCACTTTTAATAATATCAACCTTGAATTATTATTTAATAATCTCAACTTTAAGAGGTGTTTGCTTTCATTGAACCCAAACGACCGACTACCTCATAAACAAGTTAATTCTTTACTTTAAGTTATAGACACTGTT